ATCCACCAGGTCTGAATGTTGTCTGGGGTCTGGCAGAAGGGATGAGACCCCATCTGTACCAGTGTGTGCCCAAGTCCCCTCTCCCCTCACCCAGACATTTGTGCCACAGATGATTTGGAACAGAACACACAAACAAATTACCAGTTTCTGTTTTAACCTCACTGGCTCCCGTTGACCCCAACAGGAGCAGAAACCACCAAAACAAGGGACAGAGGTGGCCAAAACAAACATCTGCCCATTCATTCTCCATGTGCTCCTCACCAGAGAGATGGGATGTCCCCATGCAGTGCCAAAGGCACGAGCAGGGCCGTGTGTGCCAGCCCACAGGGCACTGAGAGCCCACAGGGGTGCCAGGGCAGGAGGGACACCCAACACACAGGAGGGACACCCAAGACACAGGAGGGACACCCAAGATACAGGAGGGACACCCAAGATAAAGTGACACCCAAGATACAGGAGGGACACCCAAGATAGAAACAGAGCCCACAGAAGCCCCTCTGGGCTGCCCCACTGCTGCCCAGATGTGCTTTCCACCCTCTCAAACCCAGCAATGACAACTCAGTCACCAGGCTGGGCACACACAGAGCCCCTCAGTGTCCTGCCAGGAGTCTGTGTGTCCTCCAGCCTGCCCAGGGCTGTGGTGGGGCCAAGCCTGTGGCCAGTGCCAGCCCCCAGCCCGTCTGTCTCACCCCAGGGCTCGGCCTCATTCCACAGCCCAAGCACCAAACTGCTTCCAAAAGCCATAATTGTTTTTAACAAAATGCATTTATTAAGGAAGAAAACATAAGAATAAGCTCTTTGTCTGAGCGTGGCTCCAATCTATAATGCAAGTATTGTTCCCTAGCCTGTGGCACAGGGAGATTATCTTATCTGAGCCCTGCTGTCAGGAGAGCCAGGGGTTTTCAGTGATCATATTTCTCTGCAAAGCTATTTCACTGCCCAGACAGGTGCATCAGTCTTCGAGGCACATGCCTGGACAACAGCACCATTATCAAGACCCCAAATTCCTTTCCAGGAGTGAGCAGAATGGTAAAAGCAGGTGATTAATGAAGTGCCTGTTTGCTATGAGATTTTACTCACTTTTCTGGCATATAAATGAAGAGGCATTTGGGGTTCAGCAGAGACCTGGGGGAAGCTGCAGATGGCCAAGATGCTGCTCCACGCCTGACAGCAAACATTGCAATGTGCTGCTGGCAGCACCCCCATGCTGCTGGGATGTTGGGCCTGGACTTATTTTCCAGAGAAACACCCATTTTTCCACTCAAAAAATAAAAATGGCTCCAACCTTCCCATCAGTTCCAGCTGGTTGTACCCACCAAGCCCTGGCAGCTCCCATGGGCTCATCCACACCCTGAGCAGGGTGAGGATCAGGGGAGGATGCAAAGAAAAGGGAGATGCTGGCACAAGGACACAAATGAGGCCAGGAACTGCCTTGGTCTCATCCCAAACCAGTGAAGCCATTGGGACACATCTGAGCCACATCTGAACAGCCCCAGCACAGGATCTCCTCATCCTCTTCATCCAAGACCCCAGATTCCTTTCCAGGAGTGAGCAGAATGGTAAGAGCAGGTGATTAATGAAGTGCCTGTTTGCCATGAGATTTTACTCGCTTTTCTGGCATATAAATGAAGAGGCATTTGAGCCTCAACTACACGTGGTGGTGGTGCTGAACAGGTCCCAGCACAGGGACTCCTCATCCTCCTGGAGTTATGCCAGGGTGGTGGCACCAACCTGGATCTTTCTTGTGCTTGTGCCAAGTCCACCCCGTGGCACAGCAAGGAGCTGTGTCCACAGAGCACCTGCAACAGGCACAGACTCACACACCAGGGGCTGGGCTGGCCAGCACACTCATTTCTGCTCCTGCTGTCCCAAAGTGAACACAAGCACTGTCTCAAGCTGCCCATGGGAGCACTCATGGGCCCAGGGGCTTTGCCAGAAGCCCAGCCCAGCTCCAGCCCACACCAAGCACACCCTCGTGCTTCTCCCCAAAAACAAACACAAACACCCCTCTGTCCCTCCCTGCCACAGCTCTCCCAGACATGCAAAAGCCCCCCCAGCTTCTGTGGGGGGCACCTACCAGTGCCTGCAGCCAGGGATTGAGGCTCTTCCTGGCAGTTCCCAAAGGAATGGAGCCAGCAGCAGAGGTGGCTTTGGGCACAGCAGTCTTGGGGAATAAAGATCCCAGCTTTATACTCAGTTCCCATTGACTCACATTACTTTATTTATCCCTGGATGTTCCTGCTGATATAAATAGCCACCCCTGTGCTGTGGCCACTGAGGTCAGGGCAGGAATTCACAGGGATGCAGCATCCCCTCAGATCCTGTCTGCTGACTGAGTTTGACCAGGCGCTGCTGGGTCCTGCGGATTTGCAGCATCCCGAGCTGAGGGAAGGAGCAAGGAAAATGCTGAGAGGGTTTTTTTTTCCCCCCTGGTTGTTGCTCTAAGGGACAGGAGGCAGCCTGGAAGGGTTTTGTTGGCTCTGGAGTAAAACATCTGCTGGGTTCATGGGAGCCCTGTGACCTGCTGGGAGGGTTCTGCTGGGCAGGGCAAACAGCTCCTGCTCTGCAGGGCACCACTGAGCCCTCACTGCACCTCCAGCCATGCAGGGCACGAAAACAGAACCCCCAGACCCTGCTGCAATGTGGCAGCAACCTCAGCAAAGGGCAGACCCTGACTGCTCCTTCATCCCTGTCCCCTCAAGTGGAGCCTGACCAGCCTGGCTCAGGACGCAGGGATGTTCTAGCCCCACATCCTGAGGCATGGAAGCTCTGCTCTGGCTCCTCAGAGCAGCTCAGCCTGCAGGGATGCCCCAGTCCCATATTCTGAGGGATGGAAGCTCTGCTGCAGCTCCTCCAGAGCAGCTCAGGCTGCAGGGATGCCCCAGCCCCACATCCTGAGGGATGGAAGCTCTCCTCTGGTTCCTCCAGAGCTTGGAGAGCAGCTCAGGCTGCATGGATGCTCCAGCCCCACATCCTGAGGGATGGAAGCTCTCCTCTGGCTCCTCCAGAGCCTGGCTCAGCCTGCAGGGATGCTCCTGCCCCACATCCTGAGGGATGGAGCCTCTCCTCTGGTTCCTCCAGAGCCTGGCTCAGGCTGCAGGGATGCCCCAGCCCCACATCCTGAGGGATGAAAGCTCTGCTTGGCTCCTCAGAGCCACCAGCCTGGCACACCCTGCACCTCTCCCAGCCTCCTTTGAGCCCCATCTCCAGCACAGACACCCCCAAAGGGCAGCTCCTGCCCTGGACCATCAGCCAGCAGCACACACCGGGCTCAGCTCTGAGCTCAGAGTGGCTCCAGGTCCCCACACGGCTGGGACAGCCTCCCCTGGCATCTCTGTCAGTGTGTGCCCCATCCACACGGAGCACAGCAGCCATCAGCAGGTTCCAGATTCATTTTCCAAATTAGAGATTTTTTTAAGGCAACAGCCGTGGGTGAGGCAGCGGCAGGTGGGAGCCAAGAGGGGAGGACAGCAGGCGTTGGGTCAAGTTCACTCCTGACTCCGGAGACTAAAAAAAGAGCCCAGACAGAAAGCAGGAGCTATAATGGCATCAAAACCCCTCCTGTCCCGTGTTCCAGCTCATTAGCCCAGGGAGAGGCTGGGCTAGGGCTTCAAAAGAGCTTAAAGGACTCAGAGCCTGAATCCATTCAACAGCAACAGGAATCCTGTGCCTGATTTCTGGACTGTCTTGGAGGATCTCGGTGATAATTTGCACCTTCTGAGCACGTTTAAGCTCAAAGTCACTCACAACAGGCCAGTGAGAAGGGAGGGGTCTCAGAAAAATCCCATTTCCAGGCTCAGGAGAGAAAACAATGGGCACTGACTGAACCCCAAAACACCAGCATGTAGGAGTGCAGGGGGCTAGGATGGTGGGGATGGATGGAGAGGAGAAATCTCTGCAGCCAGGGTGTGGAATTTGGGGTTTATTGCAAAGGGCCCTGCTGGGAGCTGCCAGCCACAGCTCAGAGCAGGCTGAGAGAAGAGAGGGGGAGAGAGGATGAGAGGGTAAGAGAGCAAAAGCATAAGAGAGCGAGGTTCCCATTCCAATACAATAAATCTTCTGTGTTGAATATTTTAATTCTCACTAACCAATCTAGTACAAGATACAAATCCTATAGCATTTACATACAGCCTATAAGAATCATCACATTACCATCCTGTGTTACATTTTAAACCCTAAAAACTCCTCTTTGGGTCCCTTCTGCCAAGCCAGTAGGGTCTGCTCTGACCCTTGGACCTGTCTGCAAGCACAGGGTGTTGTTTCACCTTCAGCAGGCCACACCATTGTTTTCCAGATGTTCATATCTCAAAGCTTGCTTTCATTTCAATCTCGCTTATAGTTTCCATATGCTCAAAATCTTTTACCAGACAATCATATTTATAAGGCTTTCCTGTTTCATCTTCCCCAACACCAGCATGCAGTGCCTCTGGGGCAGAGATGGGGAGCAGCCCCTGAGTTCTGCCTTACCCAGAGCAGAAGCTGCTCCACAACAATTCTGGCAGCACCCAGGGGTGACAGAGACCCCCACGGGGCTGGGACCAGCCTGGGGGAGCAGTGCAGCATGGGGAGAAAACCATTTCACACCTGACAATGCTGATGTATCTTTTTTCACATCCATGGCAGTTTAGGTCTCTAATGGAACATGTCTAAAGATGTGTGTCATTGCCCACCCCAGAATCCTGGATTGGTGGTCCAAGGTCAGGATTTGGAGCCCAACTGGGGGGTGGGAGCAGCCCCCAGCACTCTGACTGCCTCAATATCCGCAGCACCAGCCACATTCCTCATCTCTGTAGTACATTCTCTTTCTTTTCTTTTCCTTATTTAATTTTCAACTAATGAACTGCTCTCCAGAGCTACTTTATTACTATTGATTCCAGGGGCAAAATCCAATTGATCTTGGTTAAAATGAACCATGTTTTTAATTCTGGTACTGACAGACTCTGGCTGGGCAGGAATCTCTCTGAGCTAAGGGCAAAGTGGGCATGTTGAACTGGTGTCCAGCAGCCAAAGAGCCCAGGAATTAAACCAGAAACTGCCTGGTAGGGTTCAAGGAGTGGTGCCATGCAGAAAAGGGACTGCTCTAGGGGAGGAGAGATCCAGCAGCCAATGCCCATCCTCCCTGGGTGTCACAGACACATTTTATGAAAAATCCTTTCCTTAGGATTTTTCCTCCTGAGAAGCTGAGAGGCCTCAGGAGCAAAATGTAAACATTGATTATCTGCTGCTGTGGAATGCAACAGGTGCATCTGTGATTGGTCTCATGGGGTTGTTTCTAATTAATGGCTAATCACAGTCCAGCTGTCTTGGACTCTGAGAGTCACAAGCTTTTGTTATCATACCACTTCTTTCCTTGATAGCCTTCTGATGAAATCCTTTCTTCTATTCTTTTAGTATAGCTTTAACGTAATATATATATATATACCATAAAATAATAAATCAGCCTTCTGAAACATGGAGTCAGATTGTCATTTCTTCCTGGGACCCCTGCAAACACCACCACAGCTGGGGACTCACCGTGTTGAAGTTGGGGAAGAGGTTGAGCGGTGATGTCCCGTTGAGCCTGAAGGTCAGGAAGTGCTTGATGTCCAAGGGAGGATGGAGAGGCCGGCCAGGGATGGGCAGTGATGCTAAGAGGGGGCTGCTGTGTCCGGAGGGACCTGGGCAGGCAGAGGGAGAGAGCAGCGTTAGCCCCGGTGATCCCTGCTGGCACAGGAGCACAGAGCACACCAGACATGGAGACATCTGCCATGGACCACAGAACCCCCCCAAGGAGAGACCCCAGCCCAGGATGGCCATGGGAACCTCTTTTTTCTAGGCTCCAAACTTCCAAACCTTTCAGGCTCCAAACCAGCACCCCAGTTCCAAGCTGGATGCTGTCACCTCTGCATGCCAGCAAGGACACGTGCAGGAGTCCAAAGCCTCAGAAAGTGTCCAAACCTCCCCCAGGGAAGCAGCTCCTCTCCTGGGCTCCCCGAAACCAGCACCAACCAGGGCTCCTCACCACGGCTGGTGAGGATTTGGCTGCCAGCAGCAGCCACAGGGCAGAGGCAGAGCTGCCCCCAGTCCTGCGGCACAGCCACCGGTCCCCGTCCCCCGCAAACGAACCACGCGCTCCAGCGTGGGATTTAAAAATAGCCCAGAGTTATTAATAATGTTCTGTTTCAACAGAAAACACCCGTGGGACTGAGGGAAGGAGGGAAGGGAGGCCAGGCAGAGGTCTGTCTGCAGCCTGCTCCCCATCCCAGCATCACAGACGATGAGGAAAGGGAAGCATCCCGGCCAGAGGGATTCCCTGCCCAGCTCTGGGAGCAAGGAGGGGGGAAAGCTAAAATAAAATAAATGAACTAATCAAACACAATAAATAAGAAATGGTTTCAGAGTGCTGTGAGCCAGAAGAGCCCATTCACATCCTAAATGGTTTCACATCCCCTCCAACCCACTCACAGCCCTGTCCCTTTCCCTGCAGCACGGACAAGGTCAATGTTCCTCATTCCTTTGGATTTTTTTGAGGTTTGGGTTCTTTACCACCTCGAAGGCATCATGGATCCCTTGACACAGGGATAATGTTGACACAGGGATAAGGCTGTGGGTCCTGCCTTACCTACAGCCCCATCTCTTTTCCTGCAGCAAGGACAAGGTCAGTATTCCTCGTTACTCTGGGTTTTTTTTGAGGTTTGGGTTCTTTACCACCTCGAAGGCATCATGGATCCCTTGGCACAGCACAACCCCATCCCATCACCCTCCTTGACCTGAGAACATCCTTGCGGGAGGCTGACTGGCCAGCACCCACTCCCACAGCAGAAACTCTCCACCAGCACCCCAATTCCAGCCATGCAGAAGGAGGCTGCTGCTGCCCCTCACTCTGCTCCGCACCCTCCCCATGCCAATCCCGGCTGGTGCAGGATCTGAGCCACATCAGAAATTCAGAGTTCGAGAGGTTCCCTGGGTTTGAGCAGCCAGGGCTCGTCGCCAGCCCCACGGGCACCAACGACCTCTTTGTGGGCGAGCGCACGCGAAGGCTCTGCCGCGGCGCCGGAGCCATCCCCGAGCCAGGCCTGACTCCGGGCAGGAATCAGGGTTTGCTTCATCAGGCGTGCACTGATCGAGTTAATTCCAGAGTCGCCCAGGAGGGAAATCTGCGAAACCGCTTCAAAATAAATAAATAACAGCACGGCAGCAGCGAGCAGCGCTGGGTGTGGGGTGCATAATTAACCTTGTGAGGCGTGAAGCAGTTTTTCTACATTAAATCATTGGAGATGGATGGGCTGGCGCCAGAGGAGCTGCCCTGGGACCACCCAGCACACGCAGCCGGGGCCCCATGAGAGAGCAGCAAAGGGATTTGGGGCTGGATCATGGGGGGTGAAACTCATCACAGCCAGGGTGGTTTGCACTGGCCTTAAAAACATAAAAGATAGATATGCACACACACACACACAAATAAAAATAAAAATAATAAAAAAGGTAAATATAAATATATAAATAACTATACTTTTATTATAATTATTAAAATTATGTCTATAAATATTAATAAATAAAATTAGCATTATAATATATAATATATAATATATAATATATAATATATAATATATAATATATAATATATAATATATAATATATAATATATAATATGCTATATATTATATATTATATATTATAATGCTATAGTTTTATAGCTATATAGTTTTATATAATTCTTTTTCAAATTATTATTATTATAAATTATAGAAATATAAATATACACACATTTTTACATTTATATTTATATATATAGCTATAATATATATTAAAAGTATACATATATAATGTATATATATAATATACATACATACACATATATTTTATATATATATACATACACACATATATATATAAATATATATATATAAATAAATACACACATATATATATATATATATATATATATATATATATATATATATATATATATATATATACACACA